GAATTTTCGCTTTTATTTAGTTTCCTTTTATTTATTTATTTTGTTACGCTATCGGCTAGTAGCATGCTAGGGCCGACCACTCGGTTACGCAAATTTTAGGTCCTTTCTTTTATTCGAATTAAGGCGAGAGGGCGTTCCCTTTTAGTTTATATTCATGGGGATGCCCCGTAGACTTTGTATATATATTTTATCCGGGGTATGCCCCGAAGAATTTGTAAATATTATTGAAGCGGTGACGAACACCTTGGAGGAATCATAGTGTAGGTTAGCTTAGGAATTTAATTTTCATTTTTATTTTTTTTATTAGGTGGGGACAGCCTCGAGCCTCTTTTTGTGTTTATTTTTCTTATGTGTTTTTTTACCTCAATTTGAATATCTCAAAAGCCGACTAGATCAAGTATGCCACCGTACTAGCTACGGGACTCCGGGAATGCCTAACACCTTCTCCCCGAGTCAAATGAACCCCCTTGCCTAGAACTCTGGTGCAGACTTAGTTTTTGAGTCCAAAGTATTTTAAAAGGAAAAATTATTTTTAAAAACGGTGACCTGGCACACCGAAACCCAATGCCAGGTGGCGATTCTAAAATATCTTTTGAAACACAATATTCTTTGTCACTTTTAATTAAAAACCCTTTTTGAGCTTTAAAAATCTTTTTATTAATTATAAGAGGGTTTCATGAGGTGTAAAAAAAAGGGGTGTGACAGCTTTGGCGACTCTGCTGGGGAGTTGCAGGTTCAAGCTGATACTACGATCTTGTTGGCTTTTTAGAATATTTGGTTGAGGTTTTTATGTTTTTTTTAGCTTCATCTTATTTTTATTATGTTTTTCTACTTTGTTATTATTTGCTAGTTGTCTATGTGTTTACAGTTTTCTATTCATGTGTTTATTGCTTATAACTGTCATCCAAAGTAAGTTTGAGCGTACACGGACTTTTTGTGAGTCGCCCATGTCTTTAGGGGGGTGGCATGGGAGCGTGGAGTGGGCGGACAGCTAGAGCAGCCGCCATCGACCACGTGCCACCCCGAATTGCCTTGTCTAGTGAACCCCATACGTAGGTCAGCCTTTAGGTCATGCTTATTTGCATCATATCATTTAAACCTAGCAGGGCTCGGTCCCAGACACCATGTCCCGTTGTAGGAGGCCTATCCAAATTATGTCAAAATGGGCTCATGGCCCAAAAAGATATTTAATCATCCCTATGTGCTACATGCTGCATTCTTTAAGGGTAAAGGGGTCATTTGGGCGGACCAATGATTGTTGAAGGCAAATGAAAAGAAAAGAGTGTGAAATATAAAATGAAGCAAGTAGGGCACACTCACATTTTTCTTTCATAGTTTTCCAAAATTTAAAAACAAGAGAAAAACAAGAAAATCCAAAAAGATTTTACATTTTCCATCATTTTTCAAAAAGACAAATAATATAGTTTTTCCAAATTAGTTGCATTTATCTAAAGCTTTCTCCCATGTCCAATCTTCCCGAACTACGCATACCTGATTTTCGTCTTTCAGGAAGGGATACGTAGGCAACCTACGTAGGATCCGGCCTTCCTAGTAAGTCTTAGGTTCTTGGCCATATCGGCCGTTTTTGCAAAGTGGGGTCATTATTGCAAAGTAATTTTGGATACCTGATTCCTAAAAGATTGGGGGTTACGTAGGCTCTCGTGAGGTGTTTCCATGTCGTAGAGGTCATCCTAATTGAGTATTGCATTTTTAGACTCCTTCGGCCACATAGGCCATTTTTGCAACAATAGCCTCAGTCATGTCTTGCGTGTGTCCTATAGGAGATGTCAATATCACATAGTGTCCTGAGTCACTAATTTTATTTAGCCTTATTCCTTTCAACAGGTATGGATCCACTCACCAAGGCTAGAGTATCAATGGTTGTCAAATCCCTAGAAGGCTAGTAAAATGGTGGAACATGTTCACATTACTTGAGCAACATGATCTGATGGGTAAATTAGGGACTCTTATTTCATTGGTGGATATTACCCCCTGTTCCGACCTTGTAGAAGCAATGTTGACATTTTGGGACCCACATGGGATGGTATTTAAGTTTGGGGATCTAGAGATGACACCCACCTTAGCTGAGATAGCCGGGTTGACTCGTCTGCCATACCTAGACAAGGAATTGATTTACACAAGGGCTCATTCAAGCACAAAGTTCCCTAAGATCATACGAATGGATTTAGAAAATCACATGGGATGTCTAGATCAATCTTGGGTACCTTAGACTTTTTATTTGAGAGGTTTGCTCGTCCCACTGGATATGAGACCTTCATAGACGAGCTCTCTATATCATATGATTCTTGGAAGAAAAGGCATCCTATGGTCTTCGCTATTGCATTGCTGGGTCTCTTGATATTTCCTTTGGAGGGTAGACACATCAGCAAGCGCCTTGGTTCCAACAATTTTGGCAGAAATCTATCGTGCTTTGACCAGGATTCGAGAAGGCGAGAGGTTCTTTGAGGGAAGAAACTTGTTGCTGCAGTTGTGGTTGATAGAACACTTATATCCCGCCACCATGTTTGAGAAAGATGTTATTGATCGTTGTTTGAGAGATCGAGTGAAGTGCATCGAGCATAGAAGGACGTTCGATAAGTTTGCCTTACCACTCGGAGTTCAGGCTTAGATTGATTACTTAGGATCTTTGACTGAAGAGAAGATTTTGTGGTCATACCTTTGGATTGATCTGGACGTGATCTTAGCAGGATCTCGCGTGCAAGACTTCTTGGTACTGATTGGACTTTGGTGTACTAGACCATATACCCCTGCTAGAGTAATGCGTCAGTTAGGAAGGCGACAAGAAGTCCCCTACATTCCTGATTCTCGTGACTTCATTAGGGAGATTGACACTATGGCTCACAAGGAGGTCGACATTCAGACCTATTGGCGCCATGCAATGAAGATGGGTAGAGATACTTTAGCAGCTGACCCCCATTCACTTAGGTATACCCATGAGTACTTCATATGGCTACAGTCTACTCAGCATGGGGTTAGCAGGCCATTGCCCCGACGTGTTAGAGGAGTATTTGACGAGGAGGCCACCTCACGAATATTGCTTAGACAGTTGATTGATCGATTTACCCAGGAAGAGGAGGCCCACGCAGCAGAGAGGGTCGGGGTTCGATTGACACTTCAGTCATTGAGATCACAGTTGGCAGGGTTGGTAGAGAACATGGGACAACACCGTGAGTACCTTATTAGAGTCAGCCTTCCAGATGCAGGCGCGCATTCCAGGATCCTTATTTCCAGTTTTGAGGTGCCCTTGCAGGGTATAATACAGAGTTTAGATTCGACAGGATTGACAGGGCCATCCGGATCTTCATCAGATCCGTCCCAGCTAGGACCATCGCATTCGAGAGCCATTTGAGGAGGCATTTTATTTATGTGTTTTGAGATTGTTTTATGTTCTCTTTTAGTTTCATGTCTTGTCTAGGAGTACCAAGTCCTCTAGCTAGTGTCAGAGTCTATCATAGTGTAGTTGAGTCTGTCGAGTCTTTCATTGCCGTACTTACTATTTTGTAAACCAAAAAGTTTTATATGAAAAATCCAAAAAGATTCTTATTTTTTAGTTTATTTTTTGCAAGAACTACGCTTGGTCTGATTCATGAGCGACATGATACGTAGGTAACCTACATCAAGTTCGATCGAATTATTTTTTAAAAAAGAAAAAAGAAGAAGAAAAAGAGAGATGGAATTGTGGGGTGCGAAAAAAGAGAAAAAGAAGAGAGTGATAAGACAAAAGAAAAGAGTGGGAAGAAAACGATGTAGGATAAGAGGTGCTAGAAAAGAAAGAAAAGAGAAGATTCAAATGAGCAAATTGGGATGATGCCATATGACCCTGCGACCCTCAAAGCCATTTTAGAACCGCTAATTATTGCTAGGTGCATTGCACGTAACGTGATATTATTTAGCTGATAAATGCCCTAACGCTAACATAATGGCTTTGTTTTGTGTTTCTCTGTTACCTTTATTTAATAACAGGAAGGTGGTTAGTTTGTTGGCATCCTGGCAAGTCATCCATACAACACCATGTCAAAGCGCCAAATAGTCATGACTAGCAAAGAAACAGACATAGGGGTTGTAGACGCACCAAGGGAGATTGTAGAATCGGAATCAGAACTGAAAGAGGAGGTTCGAAGGTTGAAACATAGATGGCGGAAATGTATCAGGCCTGGATTGAAGGACACCCTCCACCTACATTCCCTACCAACTATGCAGAAAACCCTGCTTCCATTTCACCACTGTCCCAAGCCCAGATGCCCAATACCATTGATCTTTCCCCATAACACGCACCAGGCTTCACCCCTTACCACAATTACCCTGGCACTTCGGCCCAAAATTTCCATGCTCCACCATCCAAAACAACCTCATACCCTGCTCCAACATCTGCTCCTATTTTTGTACCCCCTCCACATACTACCCTCCACCGATCCTCTAGTGAGCCCGCATTCCAAGCTCCAGATACCCAATACTATGCCCCGGAACCCACCTTTAAAGTCCCAGATCCTTACTCCTACACTCCCCACTTTGAGCCTCATGCCACCCTAGAACGTGGAGCAAGAGGAGATATTTAGGAAAGTAAAGAGTCTAGAGCAATCATTGAGAAATATGCAAGGGTTAGGAAGCTAGGTGAGTGTGGCTTATAAGGATTTGTGTTTGTTCCTTGATGTCCAACTGCCTGCCGGGTTCAAGATGCCCAATTTTGACTTGTATGACGGACATGGGGATCCTGTAGCTCATCTGAGAGGTTATTGCAGTAAAATGAGAGGCGCCGGGGGAAAAGATGAATTACTGATGGCGTACTTCAGCCAGAGTCTGAGTGGGCCAGTTTTAGAATGGTACACCCGCCAGGACGCCAACAGGTGGTACACATGGGATGATGTGGCTCAGGCCTTTGCCCGGCACTTTCAGTACAATATAAACATTGTCCCAGACCGCCTATCTTTGACCAAGGTGGAAAAGAGGCCCGGTGAAAGCTTTAGAGAACATGGGTTCCGATGGAGGGAGCAAACCGCACGGGTCAATCCTCCAATGAAAAAGGCGAGATGGTTGAATACTTTCTTCAGGCCTTGGAGCCTACTTACTTCGGCCATTTGATCTCAGCCACTGGTAAGTCTTTCAAGGATGTGGTAAAGATGGGAGAGATGGTGGAAGAGGGGCTCAAGTCGAGCAAGATCATGAGCTACTCCGCTATAAAAGCAACCACACAGGCAATCCAGAGTGGTACCGGAAGTTTGCTAGGCAAGAAGAAGAAGGACAATGTCGCTACGGTTGTTTTTGGACCATGGCATGGCCAGAGGGGTCCACCTCATTAGTACACCCATCCTCGACCCCGACCTCAAGCCTACACCCCAAGCTCCATATAATCCACCCCAACATTACTTTCCCCCGCAAGACCCCCAATACTCAGCCAAACCACCCCAATACCATGTTCACCACGCATAGTCATATGCTCAACCCCCTCCTTACCCGCAATGGCATGCTCCAGCTCCACAAAATACTTATCCACCTCCACAACCCTACCAAAACCCTACTGGTCCAAATTTTCGACCAAGGCCGGAGTATAAAAGAGAAAGGCAGCAGCGGAAACAAACTTTCACCCTGCTTGGAGAATCCTATACTAGTTTGTTTCAAAGGTTAAGGCAGTTGGATGTCTTGAGGCCTATTGAGTCAAAGATACCAAATCCCCCTCCAAAGAACCTTGATTATTCCCTCATATGCGCCTATTGTTCTGATGCTCCAGGGCATGTCATAGAGAAGTGTTGGCATTTGAAAAGGGCAATCCAGGAGCTCATTGGTACAAACCAAATTGTAGTCCAAAGCCCAGACACGCCGAACATAAACCAAAACCCTTTGCCAGCCCATGCAGAGACGCATATGATTGAAATAGTTCATAAAGATGGGAAGCCCGAGAAACCTTCCAAGTCCGTCATGATGATTTGGGCCAGTGGAAGTAATTTGGTTAAAGCTCCAGACTCTACCAAAGCGACACTCTTAACAGTTGAAGGGGTGGCAGAGAAGCTGAGCTCCTCGGTTTGAAGCCACCGGTGTTGGTCGTGAAAGGGCCTTCGAAAGATATTGGGGCAAGTCAGGAAAATCTAAAAGTGGTAGTGCCAGGGGTCCCAAATAAGCCTGTCATAGTTGTGAAAGGGTCTCCTATTACCCCTATTGTCATCAAACCAGTGACCCAGCTGCCGGTGGTTGATAACAAGGCCGTTCCGTGGAATTACAAACAAGTGATAGTGACATACAAAGGAAAAGAGGTGGAGGAAGAAGTCAATGAAACTGGAGGATTGACTCGTTCTGGGAGATGTTTTGCCCCAGAAGAATTAAGGAAAGCCAAGCCGTTCAAGGATAGTCAAATGCTAATAAAGAAATCGGTCACCGAAGAAGAGGCTGAAGAGTTCCTGAAAAATATGAAATTGCAAGACTATTTCATTGTGGAGCAGCTAAGGAAAACACCGGCTCAGATCTCTCTTTTGTCTTTGTTGACACATTTAGATGAAAATCGCAGGGCCCTGATGAAGATTTTGAATGAGGCATATGTTCCTGATAAGATCACAGTGCACCACTTGAAAAAGATAGCTAACAAGAACTTCGAAGTAAACAGGATCACTTTCTCAGATGATGAACTTCCAATGGAGGGTACAGAACACAACCGAGCTCTTTATCGCACGGTGAAGTGCAAAATTCTGTTGTCTCAAGGGTGTTGGTTGATAATGGCTCTAGTGCAAATATTTGCCCTCTGTCTACTCTGCAAAAGTTGAAGATCGGCACCAAAATAATCCATATGAACAATGTATGTATTCGAGGCTTTGATGGGGGAGGTAAAGATTCTGTTGGTGATATAATGCTCGAATCGTCGGTAGGGCCAGTTGAGTTCACTATGGAATTCCAAGTGTGGTTGTCTCCTACAATCTGTTGTTGGGCAGGCCCTGGATACATGATGCTAAGGCAGTCCCATCATCTCTGCATCAAACAGTGAAGTTTGAATGGGACATGTAGGAAATAGTTGTCCACGATGATGAGGACTTATCAGCTTGTAATGACACAATTGTTCTGTTTATTGAGGCTAAAAACGATAAGGGACCTTAGGTCTATCAAACTTTCAATACAGTATCTGTTGAGAAGATTCCTGAAGGAAAATGCATTTTGGGCCCTAAGTTGTCCTCCGCATCTGTCATGGTAGCAAGTGAAATGTTGAAGAATGGTTTTGTACCAGGTAAGGGTCTAGGTTTATCTCTACAGGGTATTGTGCATCCAGTGCGCCCCCGTGGAAATCTTGGTACATTTGGTTTGGGATTCATGCCCACAGGGAAAGACGTGAAAAGGGTTACAAATCTAAAACAGAAGGTATGGTCACTCCCCGAGCCTGTCCCACACATCCCTAAGTTTTTTGTCAAGCCAGGGGCCGAAAAACCTCTAGTATCATCAGTGCCAAAACCTGTGGTCGATGTTGATGAAGAGCTGATCAAGAGGTTCTAGAGTCTGTTTGATGAGGTTAATATGGTAGAAATTGGTGAAGGTTCTAGTAAAGCAGATGTGCAGTTCGTTGGGCCAAATGTGAAGCTTAGCAATTGGGAAGCTACTCCTCTCCCTACCATGAAGGAGTTTTGGTAGTTTGCTTTGTTTTCCTTTCTGTTATCTGGGTTATTCCAGGGTTGTAATCCAGATTTTTATTTTTGCTTGTTTTGATGTTCAAACCCTTCTATTTATTTTCAATGAAATGCAATTTCCCATTTTCCATTATTCCTAATAGTGTTTCATTTTGTTGTTCTTTGTACAGTTGTTTTTATGCTGGTTGCAATGACATGACATGCATGAGGACTTTTCAGCCAAGTCTTAAAAGCCAATCTAATTCCGAAATAATAATCCAAGAAGTAGAGTATGATGATGAAATAGAATACGATGAAGAAGCAGCATTTGAGGAAATGAGTAAAGAGCTAAAACACTTTGACGAAAAACCAAAGCCTATTTTGAATGAAACTGAAGCAATCAATTTATGAGACCAGCATAATGTTAGGGAAACCAATATAAGTGTGCATCTGGAACCGCAAGTTAAGGAAGAAAGTATCAAAACATTGTTTTAGTACAAAGATATCTTTGCATGGTCGTCTGACGATATGCTAGGCTTGAGCACTGATTTGGTAGTTCATAAATTGCCAACTTATCCAGCATTCCCTCCTGTCAAGCAAAAGTTACGAAAGTTCAAGACTGACATGAGCGTGAAGATAAAAGAAGAAATCACAAAGCAGCTTGATGCAAAGGTCATTCGGGTCACTCGATATCCCACTTGGTTAGCTAATGTTGTGCCAGTACCGAAGATGGTTGGTAAGACCAGGGTATGTGTTTATTACGGTGATCTTAACAAAGCGAGCTCGAAGGATGATTTTCCATTGCCGAACATTCACATTCTGATCGATAATTGTGCCAAGCATGAGATTGGATCTTTTGTGGATTGCTACGCAGGATATCACCAGATCTTAATGGATGAGGAAGATGCAGAAAAGACAACGTTCATCATGCCATGGGGAACATATTGCTACCGGGTAATGCTATTTGGTTTGAAGAATGCTGGGGCAACTTACATAAGGGCGATGACTACCATATTTCATGACATGATACACAAGAAGATTGAGGTTTATGTTGATGATGTGATCATAAAGTCAAAGAAGCAGTCTGACCATGTCAAGGATTTGAGGAAGTTTTTCCAAAGGCTCCGCAGGTACAACCTCAAGCTCAACCCTGCAAAATGTGCATTTGGTGTCCCATTCGGGAAATTGCTAGGATTCGTGGTTAGTAGACGTGGTATTGAGTTGGATCCGTCGAAGATCAAATCCATCCAAGAGTTACCGCCGCCAAAGAATAAAACTAAGGTGATGATTTTGCTCGGAAGGTTAAATTACATCAGCAGGTTTATTGCTTAGCTCACGACAACCTGTGAACCCATCTTTAAGCTGCTGAAGAAGAATGCTGCAGTCAAGTGGACTGACGAGTGTCAAGAAGCGTTTGGTAAGATTAAGAGGTACTTGTCGAATCCACCGGTGCTGGTCCCACCAGAGCTAGTGAGACCTTTAATTCTCTATTTGATAGTCCTGGATAACTCTTTTGGCGGTGTGTTGGGTCAAAACGGCATCACGGGAAAGAAGGAGCAAGCAATATATTATCTCAGTAAGAAGTTCACTCCCTATGAGGTTAAGTACACTCTTCTTGAGAGGACATGTTGCACCCTGACTTGGGTGGCACAAAAGTTAAAGCATTATCTGTCGTCCTAAACTACTTACCTCGTTTCTCGCATGGATCCTCTAAAGCACATCTTTTAGAAGCCTATGCCCATAGGAAGACTTGCAAAGTGGCAGATTTTGCTCACAGAGTTTGACATCATCTATGTGACTCGGACTGTGATGAAAGCCCAAGCCTTGGCCAACCACTTGGCCGAGAATCTGGTGGATGAAGAATATGAGCCACTGAAGACTTATTTTCCTAATGAAGAAGTGATGTATGTTGACGAGGTGGACCATGATGAAAATCCAGGCTGGAAACTCTTCTTTGATGGAGCTGCTAACATGAAAGGTGTCGGCACAGGGGCTGTACTCATTTCTGAAACAGGGCAACACTACCCTGTAATAGCCCAACTTCGATTTCATTGCACCAAAAACATGGCTGAGTACGAAGCATGCATTCTGGGTTTGAGGTTAGCTGTAGACATGAGAGTCCAGGAAATACTGGTTCTGGGAGAATAAGATTTGTTGGTTCATCAGATTCAAGGAGAATGGGAGACTCGGGATTTGAAGCTCGTACCGTACTGACAGTGTCTGCATGATCTTTGTCAACGATTTAGGTCGGTAGAATTCTGACATATTCCCAGGGTTCATAATGAGATTGCCGATGCCTTGGCTACTCTGGCATCAATGTTGTATCATCCAGACAAGGCTTATGTCGACCCAGTGCATATCCAAGTTCATGATCAACATGCTTATTGTAATATGGTTGAAGAGGAAATTGATGGTGAACCTTGGTTCTATGATATCAAGAAATACATCAAGTTGGGGGTATATCCAGTACATACTCCAAGTGATCAAAAGAGAACCATTTGACGTCTGGCTAGTGGATTTTTCTTAAGTGGGGGAATCTTGTACAAGAGGACTCTAGACTTAGGACTGCTGAGGTGCATAGATGCTAAAGAAGCTTCGACTATCATGGACGATGTGCATTCTGGAGTTTGCGGGCCGCATATGAATGGGTATGTCTTGGCAAAGAAGATACTTTGAGCGGGTTATTATTGGCTCACCATGGAACGAGATTGCATCAGATTTGTTCGCAAATGTCATCGATTCCAGGTGCACGGTGATTTGATTTATTCCCCGCCATCTGAGTTGCATACAATGTCTGCACCTTAGCCATTTGTTGCTTGGGGCATGGATGTCATTGGACAAATTGAGCCAACAGCATCAAACGGGCACATGTTTATTCTGGTGGCCATTGATTACTTTACCAAGTGGGTCGAAGCTGTAACTTTCAAGTCCATGACCAAGAAGGCAGTGGTGGATTTTGTTCATTCAGATATCATTTGTCGGTTCGGAATTCCCAAGGTAATAATCACAGACAATGCTGCCAACCTCAACAGTCATTTGATGAAAGAGGTATGCGAACATTATGCATCAAAACTCCACTCCGTACCGTCCCAAGGAGAATGGAGCTATTGAGGCTGCTAATAAGAACATAAAGAAGATACTTCGTAAGATGGTGCAAGGTTCTAGGCAATGGCACGAAAAATTGCCTTTTGCCTTACTGGGTTATCGCACTACTGTTCGCACTTCAGTAGGTGCAACTCCTTATTTGCTGGTATATGGAATTGAGGCAGTTATACCTACAGAAGATGAGATTCCATCCCTTCGGATCATTGCAGAAGCTGAAATTGATGATGATGAGTGGGTCAAAACCCAGCTAGAGCAGTTGAGTTTGATTGATGAGAAAAGATTAGCTGCAGTATGTCATGGTCAATTGTATCAAAAGAGAATGGAAAGAGCATACAAAAAGAAGGTGCGTCCTCGGAAATTCGAAGTGGGCCAGCTGGTATTGAAACGCATCCTTCCCCATCAGACTGAAGCTAAAGGCAAGTTCTCCCCAAACTGGCAGGGGCCGTTCATTGTGACGAGAGTGTTGCCCAATGGTGCTTTGTATTTAATAGACATAGAAGGCAAACGTATAGATATGTCTATCAATTCTGATGCAGTCAAGAGGTACTATGTATGAGTTCTTTGCTTGTCTTCAATTATATTTTAGTACTTGGCATATTCAAAGTTGAAATGATGAAGGCATTTCGTTCCGCTACCCAAACACTTTCATCCTTTGCTACCCCTTTTGAGCCTTGTTTATTTTCTTTCATACCCCTATTTTAGAATCAGGAGTAGAACTAGAAAATAAGAAGAAGAAAAAAGAAAAGAGAAAAAGAAAAGAAAAAAAAAAGAAAAGAAAAAAGGAAAGAAAAGAAAAAAAGAAAAAAAAAGAAAAGGAAAAGAAAAAGAAAAAAACAAACAACTTTTGTTTGAACTACGTTCGACCTGATTCCTTTTAGGGATACGCAGGCAGCCTACACAATTCGGTCCCCTCAAAATAAAAATCCAAAATTCCCCAGACCCAAAGAAACTGGGGCAGAAGTTTTGGTTTTGCAAAAGATCTGATTCCAAAAGTTGTAATTTTGAACCCTTTTCATCTTAAATTATTTTGAGCCTTCATGCCACCCTTTCTTTCTAGCCTTTTCCAAAACCCTACATTACGGTCCAAAGAAAGACCTTCTGATCAATCATTGAGGATGCCAAGTCAAGCGAGATAGAGGTATGATTTACGTCATGGGTAACACTTTGTTTATGGGCACAAAGGAAAATTGAATAAAATGAGAGAGTCTTATTGGTGAAAACCCTCACGGGCACTGTAAGGCGATGGTGAGCTGAGAGAAAATTTAAAATGAGAGTCTTATTGGTGAAAATCCTCATGGGTATCGTAAGGCGATGGTGAGCTGAGAGAAAATTTAAAATGAGAGAGTCTTATTGGTGAAAACCCTCGCCGGCACCATAAGGCGATGGTGAGTTGAGAGATGAACAAATGAGAGAGGCTTGTTGGTGAAAATCCTTTGGGGCACTACAAGACGAAGAGGGTCGTGACTTTATAGAGAAATTGGATCAGTGAAAGCCCGGTTTCTAAAGTATGAAGACATGACATGAACTGAAAATATGATTGGTTGGACGGATTAGGTTGATCAATCCATATTGCATGTCACGATCATTGGAGCCAGCCGCTTCACTCTGATAAGTCCTTTTTCTATTCTTCTTCACATAGTCATCTTTGTTCAAATTTTCCTTTGTTCCTTTTGCCAAAAATCACTTCACTGCGCTCTTTGAGTCTATCTTTATGAGTCTCTTTCGCGTTAGCCCTTGTTGAACAGGCATGAAAGGATTCCAAAGTCTACTACCAGCTTCTCGATT